ATGATAGCATTCTACAAAGGAACTTAGCGGGCAATTAATAAGCACGTGAACGTTTGCAGAATCCTGGAAGTGCAAAACAGGGCCACTGGACGACTTGGCTAATAATTCCCTCTCGTGACTGTATGTGCAACTGGGGTTAGAAAGCTTGAAAACGAAATTTTACGTCAGATCAAATGCTACCCCAGTCAGCATGTTGTATGACATGCACTACCCCCTCCCTCCCTCGCTCCCTCCCTCGATCTTCACCCCCATCCGCGCATTTACGGTTGGTCAAATTTCGAATTGTGTTAGCTAACTTGATCTTACCCGATAGACAAACATAATTACGCAACTCACGCAACGAATGCAACTCGTCTGTTTCTTTGTTGGACATCGCTTGATAAATGTGCGGGTACAAAGGATTTCAGCATGCATATATAGGTATGTATTGAAAAATAAATATATCTCTGTACATAGATATCTCAGCATGCTGGAAGAGAAGAAAGACTTGTGATTCAAGTGTCCCTCACAGGTGAAATCCACAATGATAGTCTTATGGTTTCTGGTGATTCAAACCGCCGACACGATCTCGACCACGTCCCCGATTGGTTTTCACTCGACCGGCCAGGAACAGTCGTGCTCCCCGCGGATTCGTTCCCGTCGCAGATCGTTTCGAGCCCGTGTGTGTAACGGATCCGTCAGTGTTGCATTTCTCCGGGTCAGAAGAATCCCCGCCCTTCGTGATTGACAAATCGCACGGATTGTGAAGAAAGTTGAACAGTTTTGTTGCACACTCACTGAAAGACAAACGTTTCAGCGGGAAAACAAGATCTGGGATGAACGCGGAACCAACCGTGAGCACATAGTTCTCGATTGCAAACCATTCAGTGAAATCGTGAAAATTTTGAAATACTGTTCGTTTCTCGATTTTTTTCGAAATGATTTTATGGTTTATTAAAAGTACAGAAAATTCTTTATCTTTTCTTGCTTTGCACTGTGCGACGTGTTCGTTATCAGGTTTATCGTCAACGCCATCCACAGGTTTGCATTCATTAAGCGACTGATTGGTTTCTCATGCATATTCAAAAAAGGAAATTTTAAAGGGATTATTCGTGCTAGATTCTTATCTCTGAGAGACGGGAAGTTTAAGCGAGATAGTAAACAGCAGATAGGAGACTAGTGTTTCGTGGTTTAGCTGTGGTGAGGAAAAAATAAGACAGAAACTCCCAAAGCCTCAGTATGTTTGAGATGGATGTCTTCGGCTGTGACTAGTCACCTTTCCGTTGCACCTTATGAAAGGAGTATATTTTAGTCAGTGACCTTCCTACTCATTTACTCATTTTCACAAAAGATATTACCCGCATACTGCCTCCTTCCCACGACTAGGCACACAACTGGAGGATGGTTGGAATTCTCCCAAAGGGGCTTTGTGTGATAAATATGAGGCACAAGTAAATTTAGTTTCAAAAGATAATTTCCATAGACACAGGATATCAAGTGCCTCGAAGTCAAGTCAAGTCAATTTAAGCTTCATGCATCCAATTTGCAGCTACGGGTCAGCGTGATTTTAAAGTGAAGCAATCTAGATTTATTTTATTTATCAAATACCTATTTGTCATGCACCAGAAACCATACTAGTACTGCATACAGATGCTTCACTGGGTTTGGTGGGAATCACTAGCGGTGCGTACGCATCGAACCCCCAAAGATTCAAACTCGAACACACCAAGAGTTATTAGTTCGCAGAGCAGAAAGGNAAAGGTTTCCGGATTGGCTTTTATCAGCTTGTCATAAGGTCAGTATCACATGATACGGCGATCATTCAACAATATCGTTGGACGTACCGGCCGGTACCAGATAGCCATTGCCTCACCGATGCAGCTATATCCAAAGACGAATGAACATTATACTTAAGGCGAGCATCTGCTTATTCCAGTTCCGTTTTCGAACGAAACTGAGCAACCAGGACTACACAATCCCGAACCAAACCAACGAAATTCGTTTACTATTTCAAGGCAGAGTGGCAGTGTGACGACAACAACAACAAAAACTTGGGAGAGAACATGGAACAGTGAGTGCCACAGAAAAACACTAACCGGCTATCCAGAATCTCGATAAGTTTGTCCAAACTACATTGGGCTAACTCGTGCAAAGAGCGTAACTTCTCCATTACCCGACGATAATTCTTCCATGAGATGCCCGGCATTTTGAGTAACATGTCCACAGCCTCCACATTGTGGTCTTCCAAATGTTCACCGTCCTGTGAATTAGAAGATGGGGTTGAAGTGACGGGGTAGAACGAACAAAATAAAATAGTAAGCTGCTTTTACATCCTATCGAAATCCCTCTCAAGGATCACATTCTCATTCGAAAAGAAAGAGCGGTGGTGTTATTGCATGCTACAATGATTTTTCGATTTATACTCTGGGTCGGTGATGGTAGGACATAGCCGTCAGCGAGGTTACCCATAGATCACGTGTGCGTGTGCGCCAATCCCGACGACACCTCTCAACTTTATATTTCATCATCACCATTGTACAGGGAACTTCATTGATCGCTTCCAAACGCATATCGCATACAAGGTAAGTTAAAAAGTGCAAGGAGAATAAGGATTGGGTCTATTTTGAAGGACGGAAAAAGAAAGCGCACCTCTATGGTCAACATACAGTGTACACAGTCCAAGTGTGCATACATACTATTTCAAGCATTTTGGACTGATAAGTGACAGCATGATCGCTATTGATGTCGGTTCGTAGCCATGACCTTCAGTGTCTCCAACCATGAAGTTTCGGAGTCTTTTGAACCCCATCCCGGAAGACTAGAGACACCTACCCTAACTAATCGCTCTGTGCATTTCTTCATGCCTCTTCTCCATGTCATCTGCTGGCCTCCACGTAGCTTTCTCCAGCTTGCAACAGCCACTGTAAATAAGGCGCGCTGCGGTAGGCGACCGTCGGACTTACGCAAGACGTGTTCTAACCAACGGAGCCTACTGAGTTTAATTAGATGCGATAGCGAGTTCTTGATCGACGCATTCCCAAACACCTGAAGACTTACTACTAACTTACCAACCCGCTCACTCTATCCCACTTGGGCCAGACTACGTTTGCATCGATTGTCGAAAACCACTAGGCAACTGATGTCTTCTACCCGCAAAGTCAAGGTCTCACAACCGTAAAGCAGAACTGATCGCACAGTGGCGCAGTATACGCGACTTTTTAACTTCAATGAAACATCACGTCGAAGCCACAGATGTTTAAGTCCTGTGTACGTTACTCGAGCCTTGGAAATGCAGGCGGTTAGCTCCTTTGATGCGCTACCGTCGTTGGTCACGCAGCTACCTAAGTACGAGAAGCAGTCAACCTCGGCTAATTCCTGACCCTCTGGTTTTAGAGCAGAACTCGAGGACAACCATTCTTGTAGCCTAACTTTGCAGTTTGAAGGTGCAAAGCACAAGCCGAACGGAGCGACAGAATTTGCTCATCTGTCGAGTGCTCTTTGTGCATCCTCCGTGCACTCGAACAGGCAAACGATGTCGTCAGCGTACTCCAANTACTCCAAATCGCACAGCTTTTCTCCAACTGCCCATTCAATAGCTACATTCTGGAGACCACTTAGTGCGTTCTCCAGTACTTCGTCTATGACGAAATTGAACAGGAATGGCGAAAGA